CATGTCAAATCGCACTCCATATTAAATGTTTCAAGGATTTTCATAATATATAAACATTTTCTCGTTTTTATTATAAATTACAAAAAAAGAATAAAGATATTTGTTGTTTTTTTGATCTTATAGTATTTTATATAATTTTTATCTTTTTTAACCTCTTAATGGTTAACGGTGCATATATGCACCAGGCTAGATTTTCTATTTAGGATTATTTTTTTTGGCTGATTTTTTTAGAATATCATATTTGAGCATTAATCAATATAATTTGAAAAAATTGAGCATTTTTATCCACTAGAAAAATCTTGACCATTAATGGGTTAAGAATTGTAACTTTCATAAATTTAATAGTCGTTTCGATTTATATACGGTAGGAAGTTATGAGTCTAACAAGGAAAACCGGAGTCAATTAAAATTGATTTCAAACTTCACATGGAGAAATTATACATACTACAATAATCTCACGTTGTTCTGCACCATGTCAAATAGATGAATACAAAATGTCAACCAACCTCAAGTAAATGCTGTTGGACATGTCGCACCTGTAATGAAAGAAGTTTTATTTTTACGCCACAATATCAGTTAAGAATAAATAATTTCCGAAGGTGCTTATCCTGTCCGAGCTGCAAATGGCCGAGTTTAAACAGAACCGTATGTATCAATATGCCAATTATTTATATCAGACACTACACTAATTATTGTAAATTAATAAATGTTATCGCCTTTATAGGGATCCTTTTTGCTATTACCATGGTCATATTCTATATACAAAAATATCAATCTACCCTGTTCAAATTAGAATTTCGATCGTTATTGTATTTGCAATACGTGGGATTTTTTTTTTGGATTTATATCTGTATTTATTGTAACTATTCCTCAGCCGGATAAACCTAAATGTGGATTCGCATTATTTTTGTTCTTGTTATCAGTTCCCTGATTTTTGGTTCATCAAGTAAACAAAATATAATAGTTAAACGATTAAGAATTAACAAACCGGGATTCAAGATATTAAATATGAAAAGCGCGCACTTATCACTGTCATTCTAATATATTCCGTTCAGGTAAAATCTATATTTCAGGATTTTTTTGCTAAAAAAATAGTAAGAAAAATCAATCATAGTTTTGTAGATTAATTTTAAAATATTTTTCTGTTATATTTATTTGCTAAAATTCTAACGAAACATCATTATACATTTTTAGTCGATATTTTTTCTTTACTTTCTATGGGTGACCATAGAAAAAAAGAAGTTATAAGGGCCATCTTAATAAAGGAAGAACTTTCGTTGTTTGTTGGAATCAACATACTGAATTTCAAAAAGAATTTCCTTGTATTTTTTTTCAAAAATAGAAATTCTCTATCTAACTTAATATTATTTTTTATTTTTCATAACTTCTAGTAGCAAAGTTTGTTAGCAGCCCTATTTTGCATTTTATGAGCCTTTAATTAATCAATTTTAGGAAGATAGTCATCCATCAAAATTTTTTTTTAGCTATAATCATCTTAGTGTTTCATGTCTCACCCCGTTAATTTTGTCTCATCCATAATTTTCTCTTATCGAGTAATTCATAAGAAAAATGCCCCTGGATCCAGATCATTTATAGCAACAATAAAGGCCCGATCCTATCAGTCTTATACCTTTATCATCCTGTCGCTTGGGATTACATATGTATTGATTTTTTTAGCCCGAATCAATGTCTCTGCAATTTGTTCAGCCGAACACTTAAAGGAATAGGAATATCTATTCCACTTGTCACAATACCTATGGAGTTTTGTGAGGGATTCTTAAAATTGATCATATTAGGTAGAAAATTAAAACAAATGAAGATCATAATGAAGTTTTCTACCTAAAGCAGGTCCTTAAGATGGCAATTTATCAGATCAATTGTTGCTATTCATGGTTCTAGAAACACAAGTAATTAATTATGGTATTTTTTTTTAATCATGATTTGCATTTTATATATGAATTCCTTTATTAAATAAATCAATAAATAGAGGTTACAAAAAATCAACATTATTTTTTTTCACTGCCAAATATGATTTATTTTTAAAAATTATTTAGTTGGTTTGAATCCCTACTTTCCAATACACTAGTTGAAAGACTTTTTAGTATACCTAATTGTGTTTAAACGAGTATGCTTTAGTGATAAATCCTATGCGAATGTTTATTAATAAAAGATTGAACTGAATAAAAAATGTTTTGTTTAATTCGCAATTTAATTTCCAACTTCAATTTTGGCATTATGCACACTTTACAAGATTATAATAAAATGTATCTTAAAGCAAAGTTTTAAAATAAATTATAGGACATCTCATTTAATTCTTCTTTCAGCTGTTATTATTATAGGAAATGTTCATTTTTTTATTGTACTAGTAGTAAGGATAATATTATGTAAATTATCTTCATCGTTATCTTAAAGGCCAAATGAATAATAACCACAGCATTTTGTTTCTTATATGAGGAAAGATATTGATAAAAATACAACATCTTTTAAAAAAAATTGTACCAAGACTCATTTCCAAGATAAAAAAAACGCTTTTTTTGGACTAAGACATGTCTAATGTGATAACTCGAATGATAACCATGAAATTTCTACTAGTAAATATACATCTCTAAAAAATAAAACCTTAACAATTTTCAAACATTAAAACCTTTTTTTTTTACAAAATCCCAGGCCATCTTCAACCCGTCTATTGAACTAAAAAAGATCTTTAAAGTTTTGAGAAATAATCGTCATTAAAATTGATTTAAAAAAATGAATATTATATTTTTAAAAATAATCATTAATATAATAAATATTCTATCCAATTATTAATTTATTTCAATTTTGGGATATTTATATTATAAATATCTCTGCAATGCCAGGGCTTATAAAATTTTTGGGGGTTGGGCCGGGCAAAAAAATATTTTATATATATATACTTGATTAATTGGGAAATTTCATCGGAGAGACAATTCATAGATTGTAGTGTTTTTAATTAATTTAACCACTTCCCAAAATTATAAATAGTAGTTTATTTTGATGTTCAATAGCATATTTTTTACCATTTAAAAACCGGGCAAGGCTACCTTAGTAAAATATTTAAATTAAGCCGGGCATTATTTGATTTCCCACCAGACTAAGCCGTCATTATTTAAATTTCCACCAGGCCGGGCCAGGCCTGAAAATTTTGCCATTTGCAAACCTCTGATAAATATATATCTACTGATAAAATAAAAGGAAAACCATTTATTCAAACTTTTTAATAGTAAAGAATTCGGCGCTTTAAAAAAAGTGTAATGGAGTTACTTTATAGAAACGTGAAATGTAACGACGATGGCCGCTCTTATTTTCATTGTATCCTTAAATATTGTACATTTTGTTAACATTTTTAGGCCCTCTATCTAGATACTTTTTAGCCGAACAATCTGCTGAAAAGTGTCTTTTAACAACTCTGGTGTATAGCGCTTAACCTACCCTGTGAATTTTATACATTTCTCTTTAAATTTTAGATTATAGCCTTAATTATAGAATCTGGAAAGATCAAGTTAAATTGGTTTCAAAATTGTCTGAAATTCTTGGGATGAGTTTACTATAGACATGGTAAAATGCTATTCCTTTAAAGTCAAGTAATTTTTGATTAGATTACGTCCAGACTTGATTCTTTGTTTTTAACTTCTAATGTACTAAGTATTGTTAAACGGCTCAATTTAACTGATTTTAAAAAAGAAACATTCTGAACCTATGTGCCCTCTGTGTGCGAAATCTCTACTTGTGTAATTTAATCTTGAAATGAATAAGGAGATTAATTGATTTTCATCATTCTGCGGCTTGGAAATGGGGGGGGGGGGGGGTGTTGAAAATTTTCTAATATATTATCTCAACACGGGTAACAAATAATGCTAATAAAAAATTCAATTGATTTTATTAATACTCATCACTTCAGATTATGTTTTAGGATTGGAGCTTAAAAATTTCTTGGTATAATATAACGACAGGAGATAGATTGATTACATTGATGCCCTGGGATTAAAAAGAATTTAGCATAATATTTCTAAAAGATTAATATATTACATGGATAATTATAACTATTATTCAGGGTGGGATGGAGTGGAAAAACTAAAAAAAATTCTATTATAATATTTCAATATTGGTATCTTATAAAAGCTAATATAAAGATCTATTTATAACATTGTAATTTTTATTGACCACTATGTCTATGGAGGCATTCTGACTTTCTTATATTTCAAACATGGATATTATATGAAAGACTGAATGTTTAATTAACAAATTGCTTAAGTCCTTGAGAAACGGAGGAGGTCATAATTATTTTTTAAATTTTATAATCGTATATAAATTTTTAAAATCAATAGTATACTAAGAAAACATATTTAAGTAACTAGTCAGAGCATTTCATATATTTTCTTACTGATTCATTTTTTAATCTGAGCATTTCAGTTTTATGCCTGAATGATTAGAATTTTTTCTGGGCAATTAAATTATTTAGCATTAAGAAATAATTCGGAGCATTTAGTATTTTTTTCTGTGCATTAAGTATTTATTCAACTTTTTAGAATTTTTTTCTTAGCATTTCCGTTTTAATTCGATTAAATAGGAGCCTTTATAAATACACCATAGTTAGACTGATAATGTTCAATTGACTAAAAAATATTTTATCATGTGTTTTCAATATTTATTATTTAATGAATTAAATTTAGCAATTAATTAAAACTTATATGCAAAATAATAGTAAAATAGGGTGAAATAAAATGCTTTTGATAACAAAAAAAAATTATTATTTAAAATCAAATCAAAAAAAAAATTATTTAAATCATGATATACATTTGATTTTAATCGTGTTAACTTACTATGATGATTTTAGCATTTTAATTTACAAGCTTCTTTATAGTTTTAATTCTTTTAAATAAGAAAAAATCTTTGTTTTAAGATATACACAAAGAAGGGCAAAAAGAAAAGAATAATTTCAAAATAATATTATTTAACAATTATTTTAAAAAATTTTTTAGAAACGCCATTTTCCTATTTTAGCCCAGAAAATACCTCGTCAGTTTTCTTTCAAGATTCCCGCCAAAAAGTAACGGTTAACCGATTTTTTTTAAACATTCAGGACGAGAGAATTTTATAACTATTCTTTTAGGTTTAATTCTTCTGGTTTATTTAAATCAGTTCTTAGATTTTTTTAAGTTTGCTAGACCTGATTGAGATTTAGTTTCCGTCATGAGTCTAGATAATGCCAAAGCTTTAAACATGGTACTTATGAATAAAATTTTTTACAATCTTATTTTTATGATATTCTTTCCTATTTTATATAAATACATGAAAAAGTAAATTTTAAATATTTTTAAAATATAAGAAATTACATATAATTCGATAAGATGAGTAGACCTCATTATTAAATACAAACAGATAAGGAACAATGTATAAATTCTGGTTTAGGAAATATTTTAAATCATAGATGCACTTATCAATTTAATCTATGCTAATTATTTAGGGTAAAAATGTACAGGAACAAATATTAAATATTTTACTCCTCTATTAAAAAGGATCCTAGTGAGGTTAGATAGAACACGCTAGCAGATAGTATTCAAGCATGTTTAAGTCAATGGCCAATACTATTCAAAATTTGTAAAGAACCTCGAAAAGATATTGAAAAGATAATTTAAAAAAGTTATAATTATCAGCTTGAAAAGATGCTAATTTTAATTTCAATCCCAAAATCATTGGATATGTTGCAAAAAAATATCATCCATCATATCTGATTATCTATTATCTTCCGCTTGCTGTTACATATGTATCAAATCAGTTGATGAAAAAATTAATAATTTCATTTTGCTTAGGAAAAATCATTATTAAAATTCTAAAATAAATTTAAATAATATTCAAAAGGTAGTATTTGTAGTAATATTATATGTCAAGTGATTTATCAGTGACGAATTTTTATAAATCGTTATATAAATTAGATTGATTTTTTTCTCCACATCCCTAAATGTTTGAAGAATTTTTGACTTGTAAAATTATTCGGTGGTTAATTTGAGAATTTCAGTAAAAATACTTGGTGGATGACCTCCCCGTCAATAAAATCGTATTTAATATGCTCAGAGCCCTCCCTTTAGGCACCTGCGTCCCTGCCAAAGAAGCGGCGACTTCTCTGGTGACTAAAATGTAAAATGGATACTGACTGTTATGTTGACCCATCTTGAAATTTCAATGACAATTGCAAATGTTTTATATGACTACCTATTTATGCCTGACGCCATACCAGAACGTATTAACATTTAAAATATTGAGCCTTTTGTAGTCATTATAAAATAAGATTAAAAGTATAAACAGGTTAGTTTTCAATTAAATACATATATACCTATTACTTTAAAATATGAAATTTTCGATTTGAAATTATGGAATTAATACAAAGCAGATGATAAGAATTTTAACCAGCAAACGTCAAAAATATCCAAATTTTTGCAACGTTCTATTTTTGAAATGCTCTAGAAATTTTGTTTTTCATTTTATTTTTTTCCTACTATTCGAAATTTTCCAAGATAATGCTTAATTACTAGTTGAAAATATTTTATTAAACATATATATTTAATAATCCTTGAACAAAAAAAAATTCCATATTAACAGCCCAAAATTATAAAAAATAAATATACAAAAATATTAATTTTAGCTTTAAAGATACATTATAATAGACCTTTATTTTTTTAAACTCTATTTACCAAAAGTCAAACGCCAAACACCCAAACGAAAAGTTGCCGCGATCCATAGCCTCCCACCCTAATTCGAGTTTGGTTAAGATTAGTTCTGATCTCATTAAAACTGACCCCATACCTGGTGAAAATTTCGCACAATTTTGGGATCGAATTATAACCCACAACCAGCTGATCCCCTCCGCCATAACTCCCGATCAGCTTAACCCTCGAATGAACCTTCCACTAAATTTTACGAATCCTTTATCAAGAATGAAACTGAATAGTATGAAAAATGTCGCGGGCTTTCAATCACCTAAATCCATATTAAAAGTTTTTTTTATTATAATTGACATTTTTGAATTTATTAATTTTTTTAATAAACAGAGCTTCCTATATTTGTTAATAGTGGGTAAAATAAAAACGTTGGATTATAATTAATTTATAGCGGCTCGTATAGGTTGGTCCCAAACCATAACTTGGGAATTTCCTTTTTTCAGGCTAATCTGGCCCACAGATGCTCTCCAATAAATATGACCATGGCTACCCCTAAAATAATTATGGTTATGTTCACCTTCATTTTACCGATTTGCTGACTTTATTCTCCCATCTTTTAGGTCAATTCATGTTCCACACCCAATATCATCGATGCTCCATTTGATTCCGTAGAAATCTCTGCTAACGAAAGAAAGGCGGCCAAAGTTATTAGGTTTTACACAAAAAATAATACGCAAATCAATCATAGTTATTTTTCATAAATACTCTGATTTTCTTTTGAATTAATTTTTTTCCCCTCTAAAAATGGTTCAAGCTTTAACATAAATATTATTTTTTTGTTCGATAAATGTTTCTTCTCATACTTTTATAATCTAAGTTTGGAACCTAGTCTAAACAGGATTTCGTCTGATTTTCTTAGTGGTGGTTCTGGTTCCTTCTCACTCACAATTGTAAAACAAAATCAGGTTCTAAAGTTTGACCCAATTTCGACTAATGAAATCGACTAAGACTGGCTTAGAGCTCCACAAAGCCAAAAAAATTTTTTAAGTGGTCTACTAAGCTAACTGATTTGGCCGGATTATATCTGGTTTCTAAGCTTGATCTCAATGCAGCTGACTCCTTTTTTTAAAAACATATTCTGATCATGTAGTGGTCTAACGGTCGTTAACCTTCACTAATTTCGAGGGCCCCAGTTCTTATTTCTGCTTTTAATCTATCATTTCTTTTTTACTATCATTTTAATTCCCAATTATTATTTTTTATACAAAATTTGAAATAAATATAAATACAAGGTTCGATTTCACGTCTCTTGATAATCCGCCTCAAGATCATGGAGTCCCTGAAGAAATGCATTATAATAACGGTTGAATATTATTATAACGAATAATTATTGAAAAAATATAAATATCAAATAATTCGATAAATCATTTTTCATTTCAATTCGAAAGAAAAAATTTTTTTATATGCTGAAAGTCGGACTGGGAATATAAATACCAATTTTTTAAAATATATACCAAAAAAAGTAATTGTTTAGTTATTAGTAACTAATGTTGAATTTTTATTGTGAAATAATTTTTTTTTTATCCATAGTAAGTTAAAAATTTTATTCAACATCTATATTATTTTAAACAAATTTGTATAGATGTGGAAATGTTTTTTAAAACAAAATAACAGCATTATATTACAACTTTAGCTGTTCTCAGAATCGCCTCACTGATTACCTAATAAAAAACTAATTTCCACTATAGAGACCTGCGAGCTCGAAACTTAGCCAGTAGTGATATTAAAAATTAATTTTTAAAATTAACTCGTTACAGTTACAAATAATATCCTTAAAAGATAACAGGTTATAGTTATATTTTAAAAATAACAAGTGTTATTCTAAATTAATTAATATGAACTATATCATGTAATTTTTTATTATACAGAATCATATTTTGCTGCACTCAAAAAGAATATCATAATACAATATTAATTTTTCATATAAATTGACAATAAATTTAGTGAATTTTAACAATAAACTATTTTCTAAATTGGTGTCTAAATGAAAAGGAATCTTCTTTGTCCAAAATCTTTTCCAAACTAGACTAACGTTCTATTTAGAGCGCTACATATAGGTAATATATTTCATTTAATTAACAGAGTGATTTCCGTATAAATATAATAAGTTTCGGTTATTTCCTTTTGCGGGAAATTTAAAAGGAAAATATGTTCATGTTGAATTCGGCACTTAACGCAATTTTAAAATTATCATATTTAATATTTTTAAATTAATAAATGTAATAATAAATATTTAACATATTTTGAAGGGTAATTAGTTATCCTTACATTCTAACAAAAGTTAACATTTACTTTTTTTAAAAGAGACTAATGAGTTATTTTTTCCAAAAATGTAACTACTTCACTACCGGCCCTTAAATTTGGAGTGAAGGGCTGAAAAATGATAGTTATTCTAACAATCTGGGGCTTAAAAATAAATATACAAACCAAGGACACCAGGCCCTTTTAAATCGAAAATAGGCAATTAATTATTTGGAAAATTTCACTTAACAGTTCCATTTAAAACATTTACAAAATTATTATTTTGGCGAAATTTTAAAATCTAGGTTGAGGTCTCGTAAAATGATACCCGTGCCGGGCACTTCTAAAAGATATGAAAATAAAATAAGACCAGGTTCGACAATTCGATCTCCGCGGGTCTCTGATACAACAGAAATACTTGATTTTATTGAATGCCATAAAACTAAAGATTGGACCCGTCATATCGGTTCAGGTAAGAATAAGGGTTTAGATTTGGTTGATTAAATATGTATAATGTTGTTTTGACTTTACCGGTCATTATAATTAAAGTGTAGAGAAAACACATTTTATAAAATTATTACTCATCCTATCATTATTGCGCATAAAAATATACCTTATTATAATATTTATTGATAGATGTGATTATTTTCCTAAAAAAAATACTAATGCGCTGTATGATTAAAATATTTCCAAGATTTTCTTCAATTTAATTTTAACAAATAGGGAGAAAGAATAAAGGTTATATTTTATAACTGAGAACACTTCTATATGGTATGCAAAAATTTCTAAGAATTGCCAATGACACTTCTTCTTTCTCATCACCACTTCTATTCCAATCCTTTCTCAAAATTCCTTGCTTTTTTTTTCTCAATCTCAGATACTTCACAATATCTAAACATTCACATCTCCCTTCTATGCCTTCACCTGCGTTTAGCATATGACCCAAATAACAAAACTTTTTCACTTCTTCCGGAGTTAATCCATTGCAGATTTCCAAACTACCCTTATATGTTATCATTGTTTAACCGATTTACCCATTTCTCTGCAACAAACACACCAAAGCTAGCTTTGCCATCGTTACTTCCTTGCTAGTAAAATTTATACTTTTCATTTGTCTTGCCAATCATTCTTGCGGCCTTACCTATCCACCTAGTTTTTTGTATGCAATACAAATCTGTTCACTTTTGTGCATCCACCTTATTCTATCATTCTTTCCGTCATCTATCATTGCTGGTTTCCCCACAAAATGTCTAGCCATTTATCGCCATCATAAGTCTCATTTTCACGAATTGTGGTTCCATCAGGTTTTCCGTTCTTTTTGTCGTAGATGAATTAGGAGGTCCACGGAATACTTTGGATTGTACCCTGCCTATATTTGGTTGTAATTATTAGGGAATTTTGGAGCACGTTTTTTTACATTAGAATGTTTTTTCCGACATCAACCCCTCTAGGATGCTTTTACACTCCGTTGAGGAGACAGTGATGATATTATAAACCCAGTCCACGTGGAACCTCTAATTCTCTTTAGCCGATCTTAGACGTTGCCATCCCCTCATCGCCACGCCGAGGCGGAAGGTAGAATGATCAATTCAAATTGATTGAATAATAATCTTTAAAACAATTAGGATATATATCATAAGGTTCAACCTGATTCATAGATTTTTTTAGAGATTCTCAGGTGACAAATATTTTTAACGTTTCAATTATTAGTTTGTAATAGAATTGGGGATAGGGTCTAAATTTGGGAATCTCATTTATATCTCCTAGAAATTTTTTAAATTATGGAAGTAAACTTTTGTATTTAAAGTGAGTTCTTAAAAAAATCGCTACAAATGGAGGAAATATCATCATTGTTCCCAGAATTGGGAACAACTTATGCGAATATTGATGATAGTTCCTCTATTTTTAGCGATTCTTTTAAAGAATTAAATTTAAATACAAATGTTTACTTCCCTAGCATCTATTAATATTTCAAATTTACTTTACAAATTTTCTAGGATATAAGCAAGATTTTCAATTTTTTTTGTTTTTATCTATTTCTAACGAACCAATATTGAATTGATAGTTTTTTTTATAATTTTAATATTAATAAATTTAGAATTCAAAAAAAACAAAGGTGGTTTTTTTTGATTGTTTTTATTAATTTTTGACAACTTATTTATAAAAGGGATTTGAATAATATTCAAAAACTAAGTCTTTTTATTATTTTCTCATTTTCCAGCTCCAGTCGTTGGGCGCATTTAAAAATTGTTTTAAATGCTTGTAATTTCTGAAAATATTAGATATAATAGAAAAAGACGTTAAAGGTGGGGGAGATTATAACGTTAGTACACGCCCGCCACTCAACGCCAATCCTCCATGCCTGTCGTATAGAGAAACAGAAGTAACGTCATCGAAAACACCAAATTTACCTCTTCTTAAAACTAACTTCCACGATTTTTTTTCGGGGGGAGGTATAAGTTACAACTTTTATAAATTTTTTCGTTTTATTATATAAATATCAATTATTTTTAATAATAATTTTAAAAAAAGAAGATCCCGCATGTTTAATTAGCGGCGATAAGACTAAAGTTACCACCCGTTTTGTTGCTGAAGAAAAAAACATCATGTTCGCCCCCGAGGCAACGAATTATTATAGCATGGTGACCCCTAGAAAACGGCTATCGGACATTCGAGATGAAAATAAATCGAATTTGAACTAAGACATTAATACCGCCTGAAGAATATCCTTTTCGCACAATTTTATTGTTTGTTATAATAAAATAACATCTTTTGATAAATCAATTTTTATTTGTTAAAAAAATTTTTGTTCCCATTGTTAATTTAGTTTTTTTTATTATAATAGTTTTCTAAGAATAAGAATATAAAATATTTTTTGCCTGCTAGCCCATACCTGGTCAAACTATTTCTTACGGAATTGAGTGATTAAATTTTTTACAATTATATTGATTAAGGTTTAAATATGATATTCTAAAAACAAATCAATTAAATACAAAACCCTAAACGTATTATAAACATAAAAATTATCTATATACCGTCGGTCTAGAATTGGAGTGCTCCACTCGATATTTTTAAAGTTTTTGAGTTAGAAGTGTAATAACTTATTTAGTCCCAATATATATAAAAATAAAAACTAGATTAAAAAATATTAATTTTTGAAGGTTTTCTTATATATGATTTTTAACTTTAATGCTGATTTTCTCATTTTAAACCTTTGCGCAAGTGGAGCACTCCAATTCTAGGCCGACGATACTATAATATCCAAATAATTATAAATATTTGTTATTATTTCGCAAATATATTTTAAAAAAATCCTTAGAGCTAAAATGGGATTTGACACGTTTGGCATATTATCTGTGCTTATGACAATATTTACATCTCTGTAATTTTTAAAAATAATATCCACACGAATCAGTAGGCGTTTCGTTCAATAAATAACTTCCATTCATCCATATAAGATCAAATAAAAATACACAGTAGTCAACAAAATTTATGATTTATATCCCAATCGAATGGCTTTTTTTGGTGTGATATCACCTCTTCTTCTAATGATAAGTTATTATTTTTAGTGTTATTTCATTTGTAGAATTCCAAAAAATTTAATATCTTGTAGAATTTATCTAGTTTCTTCTATTTAAATTCTGGGAAATTATAGAATGGTTGCTTGTAGTCGACGGCCACATTGGTTTGGCTAAGCTTAAGTCAATTTTTTTGGCTAAGCTTAAGCCAATTTTTTGGCTAAGGCCAAACTTCAGCCGATTTTTTTTGACTATAGTTCGATAATTACTATATTATTGACGTTTACACCTTTTCTAGCCGGTTTAGCCGAAAACTATCACTATGGCCTCGGTGTTTTTCTCTAAAAGATACCATCTCAATTTTGGATGAAATTAATATAAATAAAAAAGTCTTAATGATAACGGATTTTCACCGGTAAGCGCCTGAAGATTGAGCCTAATTAGCCGACATTTCGCCATTATCTAACTATAATTTCGAATTAGGCTAAGCCTAAGCCAATTTTTTTTTGACTAAGTCTTAGCCAATTTTTTTGGTTGACATTAAACCTGATCCAATATTTATTTGGCTGAGGCAAAGTCTTAGCCGATTTTTTTTGGCTAAAGCTAACCCTTAGCCAATTTATTTTAACATGGACTAAGCCTGTGCCGATTTGAGCCTTAGCTGATTTTGACTAAGGTTGACTTAAGCTGATTTTAATTGACTACCGTTCTGCCTTACTGTATATTTTATTATAAATTAATTCAGAAGGGTGACAATTCATTATTTATTTTAAATCCTTTTCAGTGTTTTTTAATAAAATAAAAATTATTATTTTAAATCTGTTTTATAGGAAATACAATAATAAAGTAATTCGGAAGGGTGGCATTCGTTATATTCGATATTTTAAAACTTTCTTAGCCAAAATAAATTGGCTAAGACTTCGCTTTAGCCAAATAAATCAAAAATGGCTTAGGTTTAGCCGGTTCCACGTCTTTATAGAGAAACCATTATAGAGAATGTATTTTATAGAGAAAACAATTATAGAGAATTGTTTTATAGAGAATGTAGTTTATAGATAATGTTTTATATAGAGAATAATTTTTATAGAGAATTAATTTATAGAGAATGATTTTATAGAGAATGGTTTTATAGAGAATGCCGTTTATAGAGAATGTAATTTATAGAGAATGATTTTAAAGAGAATGTCCTTTATAGAGAATGACTTCAAAGAGAATGATTTTAAAGATAATTATTTTGTGGAGAATTATATTGTAGAAAATTACATTGTAGAGAATTATTTGTAGATCTTGATTTTATAGAGAAATATTATATATGGGACAATTATAGAGTTCAAAAATTTTATGCGGAATTTTAAAAAAACACCCCCCCCCCCCACCTTTCAACAGAAAATTTTGAATAAATAATTAGTCCTAATGATACGAAGAAATTTAAATATTAATGATAATTATACTTGCTTATAACCAGATCTATCTACCAATAATAAAATGACACTTAACCATTCAAACAATGTTAAACAGGACCTTTTACCACAGGGTAAGGGGTTATAATTCAAGTTAGACATTGAAAAATTTATATGACAGCGTCTGTCTTGTTTTTTTTTATGTAAAAATATAAAACAGAAAATATGGACAAATATAATTCTTATTGAGAAAAAAAAATCTAAAAATAAAATGGAAATAAAAAAATTTTTATATTTGATTGAGATTTGCTCTATGAAAATACAAATAAATAAAAATTATAATAAAAGTTTAAACTTACAATTATTTAAGTTTAATTTTATATATAATAGGATTTAAGAAAAATTGTCATTAATTTTGAAATCTAAATTTTTTTTAAAGAACTTATAAATTAATGGCTGAATTTATTTTAAGCAGTCAAAACAATCAATTACTAATTTTTGAATCATTTATATTTCAACGAGAAAAGCTTATTAACGATACAAGTTATTGGCGTTGCGTTAAATTCCACTTGGAGGAGTGCAATGGAAGGAGGACAAAATCTGGAGTTATATTTCATAATCAAATGCATAATCATGTTCCAGACATTGCCGAAATTGAAGCAAGGAAAGAAATAAATCAAATAAAGGAAAAGGCAACTACCTCGCAAACTCTACCCAATAATATAATAGCGGATATAACAACCAATATATCTACAGCAGCTATGGGGAGAATGCCAAGTTGTTCCTTAATCAAAAGAACAATTCAAAGAAAACGACGCCTAGTAGGAAGGGCGCCTACTGTTCCTGTTAATTTAATTGACCTAATAATCCCTATTGAATATCAAATAAATAATAACGGGCAATAATTTTTATTATATGATAGCGGTCACCATGATCATCGATGCCTAATATTTTCAACAATGAAAAATGTACAGTTCCTATCAACGTGCGACAAATGGTACGCAGATGGCACCTTCAAAACATGCCCTCCACTCTTTCAACAAATCTATACCATCCATGGGATGAAATACGACACGATTATTCCTGCCGTTTATATCCTTATGGCGTCGCGTCGCCATCAAGATTATTTAAATATTTTCGAAAAAATTAAAAATTTCGAAATTCATCTTGATCCTAGGTCTATAATGACAGACTTTGAATTGGCAGCCATATCAGCTTTCAACCAATCTTTTCCGTTGGCTGATAACCGTGGATGTTTCTTCCACATGTCTCAATGCATATGGCGCCCGTTCAAAAAAATGCAATAATTTGAATGTCATATATGACAGAGCCTAATTTTGCTTTACAAATTAAGATGTTATTATCACTGGCATATGTGCCAGTGGACGACATAATCCATGGATTCGAGGTGCTGGTTGGTTCCGAATTCTATCAAGAAAGGCGGGATATTCTCCAACCTTTGATAGAATACTTCGAGGAGACATGGATAGGCAAAATGATAGCAATGGAGAGGAGATCCCCATTGTTTAGTATTTCATTATGGAATTTCTATGATTCCACTCTGATGCGAGCTCCAAATACCAACGATGCAGTAGAAGGTTGGCACCGGAGTTTTTCTTCCCATATAAGTTCCCATCATCCAACCATTTGGAAATATATATTATATAAAATATTTTAAAAATCTTATTTAATTTTTAGCTCTCAAAGATGAAGATAGCCTTAATTGCTATAAATTAGCGCAATATTCTTTGGGACTATTGGCTCCACTTTCAAAGAAACAATATCGGGAAAGAGCTCAACGGGTATATAGAATAGTCGAAGATTACTATTCAAGGCCCATGTTAGATTACCTAAGGGCATTGTCTCACAATATTAATTTAAATGTTTAAATTATATTTTTAAATATATAATTAAATTTATATTTATATACAATGTATATATGCATTTGTTATGAATAAAAATTATATATTTTGGATTATGGAACTATTTTGAATTAATTTTATTTGATCGAAAAAATTTGAAAATTTGAATAAAAAATTTATGCAATAAAATGTTAAGTTATTAAGATTATAACTAACTTAGTAATTATTTATTTTTGTGAATAACTTAATTTTTCCAACTTATCTTATTGCTTTCCAAGTGATGGTGTAGGACATTGCTTTTTTGGAAATTTTTCTTAAGCCTACTTTGATGTTTTCCTTTTCTAAATGTATTTGATATTTCGCATCAAATATATATAATAATAAAATATTCTACATTTGTAATTAAAAAAAATCTCAAAGCCTCTTATTGAGTAGATTTTCCAGATTAAATATCCTTAGCCTCTTATTGAGTAGATTTTCCAGATTAAATATCCTTAGCCTCTTATTGAGTAGATTTTCCAAATAAATATCCTTAAATATATTTTTAATAAATTATATTACATTAAATCTGGTTTAATAAGTGCCAAAAAAATAGAATTAGACGGTAAATGGTCATATTTGAGAAAATTTATTTCTAAAATAATTCATTTTCTATAAAATCATTCTCTGTAAAATTCTTCAATATAAAATTATTAATCCTTCCCTATAAAATAATTCGCACTAAAACAATTCTCTGCAAAACAATTCTCTGCAAAAATATTCTCTATAAAATCATTCTCTGTAAATGAGATTCTATATAAACGACATTCTCTATAATTGTTTTCTCTTAAAAAGTTTCTCTATAAACGAGATTCTCTACAAAATCATTCTCTATAAACGAGATTCTCTACAAAATCATTCTCTATAAACGAGATTCTCTACAAAATCATTCTCTATAAATGAAATTCTCTATAAACGACATTCTCCATAATTGTTTTCTCTTTAAAAGTTTCTCTACAAAATAAATTCTCTATAAAATCATTCTCTATAAACGATATTCTTTATAAACGACATTCATTATTAAACGACATTCTCTCCAATTGTTTTCTCTATATTTGCATTCTCT